TACTGGCGTGTGCGTGAAAGAGGAAGTCAAATCGGTGCTTGGGCAAGCCAACAGAGTAAACGGCTCTGGTCAAATGATCAGCCAGGTGCTGAGGAAGGAGATGACGGACGGTCTGTCCTCGAGAATCGAGTGAAGGAGATGGAAGCCCGGTTCGCGGACGTCAAGGAGATTCCCCTGCCGCCATTCTGGGGTGGAGTCCGACTTGTTCCAGAGTCCGTAGAGTTCTGGCAAGGTAGAAAGAGCAGGTTGCACGACCGCTTCAGGTACGTCAGGAAACACAGTACCGATGAGATGGACGGCAATGAGAAAACCTTCAAATGGAAAGTAGAACGACTCTCTCCATGAGACCTGATAGACAGTAAAACCAGAGAGACGGAGGTGTCATTGCTTAGAGATATAAAATATATTGTAATTTGGCTCCAATCGGGAGTAATATTAAATTCAATAATATAACGTTCATTGTTGCCGTATAACGTATATATATATATATATATTCTTGTACCGACCACTGGGGATAGGCTCTTGAGATTCTATCCAGATAAAGCAGCTCGTGTCTTCTGCTTTCCATTGATTCCACGCTCACCATCTTCTGAGGTTACCCACACCCTCTCTACTGCACTGTATAGCACACCTCTGGAGACAAACTTATTCGAAGTCCCGCGAGACTCTGCATCCAGCATCGCGGGTACATGCTTGGGTATGTTCTCGGGCCGAAGGTATTGAAAAGGAATACCATTCCTATATTGAGTGACAGCTTGCTGCGCTAGGTTATGCCAGTACTGACGGACTTTGTGGAGAGTGTCATCAAGGTCGCCTTGCCTCGGCTGAAGGCAATCATGTCTTCCCCTAGTGCTTGTCATGACCAGCTTGCAGTCCGGGGTCTGGACGGAAGAAGGGGATGAACGTGATCATGTGTTGAGCAGCTTATCCCCCGGTGATCAAAGGCTGCTTACTGCATTTGCAAGGGGCTGGCTGGCTTAGTTACTGCTGGTTTCAGCTTAAAATAGAAGTGTTTTGCCGAAGCTGAGGAAACTAAGCACAGGCAGCGCCAGGCTAGTTAATGATTACTGCGGCCAATTACCACAGGTGTTAAAGGCTGGTGAAGAAATAAATACTGGAGGAATCTTATCGTGTCCACTCTACTGTGGCCCTTGCGACCTTCTTCCCGCGCTGTCAAACCTCTCTCTTTGCTGGCTGGCCACTTGCTTGACTGTTACCTGCCCAGTGGGTTTAACTAGTTATCTGATCGGCGGAGATAAGATTATCAATCAGATAAGATTGGCCTCGGCCCCCTTTTCGACTTCTTCCCGTCCGTCACACAAGCATATCGCTGCCTCCGACATCTCGTCTATATACGAGACGTAGGACGGAGAGAACATTCCTACTGGCCAGAAGTTTCGTTCCTCCCGTTTCAATTGCTTCGTTCTGAGTTATCAGATCAACCTTGTGGGGAGACTAGCTAACTAGTCACTTACAAGTCTCGGACTTTACAGCAAAAGCGCGCCCAGCAGGCCGATTCGATTTCGGCCGAACATATATTGTTTGGCTAGGCTACCAACTACGAGATACCACTATTTGCTTCTCTTGAGGCTTCAATTTCTATATGTTTTTTAACTAATTTCTACCATCCCAACTGCCTATCAACTGGACAATGGCAAGGACACGGGCAGTTCAGACCTGTGAAGCATGTCGGAAGGCAAAGGTGCGCTGCGACAGAGGGAAACCACAGTGCTCGCGGTGCTCCAAGACGAGCCGCGAATGTTCATATCATATAGAGGAACCAGGCCTCTCTCACGAATCCTCGTCTGCGTCTTACACTGCATTATCTGATCCCGCTAGCCCCAATCAGGGCAATCCATGGAGAGTGGACCGGAACAGTGCCGCCTCGTCTTCAGCCTCTGATGTGAGCGAGCCTCTCGATTCCACTGAAGCATTGAATGTATGCATATGTCCACCCTCTGTTGGCCTTAATTACCCTTACCCGCTAAGACTATATCTTCTAACATACGCTCTGGGGGAGTGCCGAAGGGACATGAACCCCCATGCAACGGCTTGTATTCTCTCACAGAGGCCGGGCCACAGCACTGGGTATCACGCAGGAGAAAGCGAAATACAATATCTTGTGTTCGCTGCCGACGTATGAAGGTACGCTGTGATCGTCGGTTACCTTGCGGTCGTTGTTCAAAGATAAATAGGGGTGACGAGTGCGTTTACGCAAAACCCGAAAGGACAGCCGACGATGATGGCCTGCTTTCCCGACCTTCTAGTGATATCCCCCAAGCACCGGTCACACATCGAATATGGAGATCCAAATTCCGCACACCGGCCCATTGGGCCCCTCTAATCCAAGATGTATAGCTATCGTCTTCTAGCTCCTACTCCTTCTGATACATCCTAATGCTAACAACACATAGATGGAGAGTCTATATACCCCATCTTGTTCTCAGGACAAGAAACTAATTCCTGATGATGATACTAAAAATGTCCTTGAGAGTTCATGGTCACCAAATTATCCTTTTGGTGAAAAACCTCGTCGTTCCAAGTCAACAAGAAAGGCAATGTTAGCTTCCCTACCTAGCCGAGACGTAGCAGACAAGTTCGTCCAATCTTACCTTGATGTTATTGAAACATCACACCGCATACTTCATGTTCCAACTTTCCAGCTCCAAGTCCAAGCATTTTGGGATCAGCCTAATGCGGCTGACGATAGCTGGCTTGCACAATATTTTACTATTCTCGCCCTAGGATGTGACGCTGCTAGGGCTGAAAATCCCGAATCAACAGGGCATTACAGCGAGCTACGCAATACACTGCTAACTGCTGCAGAAACCTGTCTCAGGCTCACTCCATTCCTGTATCGACCGACATTAGCTAATCTCAGAACGCTATGTCTCATTGTCCTTGCAAAACAGATACATACGATGTCATGTTCTGAACATGAAGCGTGCTGGCCACTCACTGGTCTTATGGTTCGGCTAGCAATGCTGACGGGCCTCCATTCGAGCAATAGCAATAAGTTCTATTCGCCCTTCCATGCCGAGATGAGGAATCGGCTATGGGCTGTAATATGCTTTATGGATCTCAAGCAGTCGTTGCTCTCAGGGATGCCACTTCAGATGACAATAGAGACATTTACTTGCGTTCAACCTGCGAATATAAACGAAGAGGAAATAAACGAGTCGTTCAGTGGCGAAATACCCAGTCGACTGCTTCCAGAAAGAACAGACGCCACCGTGCTGGTCATTTTACACGATGTTTTCCCACTGGTTGCTGAAATTCTGAGAGCAGTAAATTCAGCAGATTCGTCTTTTCAGTATGAAGATGTTCTGGAGTACGATCGACAGCTAAGGTTCAAGATGAAAGAATATGAAATCATTCTCCAGTCACCTCCAAGACGCCTGGTCGAGCCTACCGAATGCACACCCATTGATATTGATTTTGAAAAGATCCTTCTTAATGTCTATTTCCGTCGAGTACTACTCACATTGCACGGTCGTTTTGCCAGGCTACCTCAAGCATTTATCGAATACTCGGTTGCTTACTGGTCGTCTTTAGAGTGCTCTCTTGCACTTCTTGTGCAGCAGAGAGAACTAGGTGAACAGGCAGCACATAACCGCGGCGTCTCGACATGGTTCTCTGGTATTTTCAAGCAAGATTTCTTCACGGCTGCAATGACTTTATGTTTCCACCTAATTAAAAATGACTCTCCTTTAGAATTACCCACGGAACATCTCTGCCAGATTCAAGCACGGGAGACAGTTCTCGAGACTCTGAGATCATGCAGGGACCTCTGGGAGAAAGAAAAGGATTTGTCAGGGTGCCACGGCCGAGCGTGTGATCTCGTTACCAAGTTGGTAAATTTTCTGGAAGAAGCGGCCTAAGTAGTTAACTGCATTCTGGAATAATGTTTGCTTAGACTACAGGAGTCGGAGGCCACTTTATAACGCTGCAACCCACATGTACAATATCACTAACACCCCTTTCCCCTTGTTTTACTCTTCGCAGAGCACTCACCTCCCTCAATAAAAAAATACGTAACAAGCTTCGTTAGCGGTTCCTGTTGCCCCAGAACCCTATCGATTATCTTACATGTCAAGAGAAATATACTGCAGACTTTCTTTGGCTGTTGGAACAACCTGGCCCTTGCTAGTTAGTTAAGTTACCCACCATGCAGTTCGAATAAACCGTGAAGCCGAGCCTCTTTGAGAGTTCTCAATGGCCACCTCCGCCGCTTTGCGAAGGGCGCTGAAAGGGAGGCATGATCCATGTTAGACAAGTATCAGGTGTTGGCGCCCCCGCAAAGAAAAACGGGATCAGCGGGTAATATAAAAAGGCCCAAGGCCTTCCATAGAGGGTGAAGCTTCTACTTGCATGAGACTTCACTGAACTCTTGCCCATCTGATTGGATAGATACTGGAAAGCCGACAATGCTGTCATCTCGAGGCGAAAAGATCACTGCGGTGATCGATGAGCCGTGGAGGGCACTATTTGGGAAACCCGAATATGATGCGAAATCAAACCCATCTGGATTGATATCACTTAACGTAGCGGAAAATGTGAGTGTCTGATTGAAAAAATTGCTCTTTTCTCTTCTTATTATTTGTAATATTAGAATGCTGATAATCATTAGCCGCTTGCTTTCGAGGAATTAACGACATACATCAATAGCAAGGTAAGCTACATCTATTCGATAGCTAGTCCCCGGGCCACAAATTATTCATTGGAATACGCTCTTAGATCCAATTCGATAAGTCAGTATTGTCCTATAGTTCCAGTGCAGGTGGCGGTCCAAAATTCCCAGCTGCAATGGCAGCTTTCGTCAACAGATACTTTGATCCATATGTCCCTTTGAAGAGTAGCGAGATACTTGCAACCAACTCCATTCCATCACTGAGTGAGCAACTTGCGTTCGCACTCGCAGAAGTTGGTGATGGAATGTTGGTCAGTCGGCCAATTTATGGCAGGTTCAAAATGGATTGGGGAAACAGAGCTGGTGTTGAAATCGTCTACGCTGATACAGGTGCACTTGAGGGCTTCACTCCGGGATGCGTGAAGAAATATGAGGAAGCAATAGTTGCTGCTGAGGCCAGGGGTGTCAAGATTCGGGGACTGATAATCGTGAATCCTCATAACCCACTTGGTAAGTCTTGATTTATGTTTATAATTATCAAAGCCTTCCAGCATATAGATGTTAGACGCTGATGGGAAGCAGGACGCTGTTATTCCCGCGAAACCCTTGTAGAGTTATTCAAGTTATGTCGGAAGTATCAAATTCACTTGATCAGTGACGAGATATACGCACTCTCTGTTTTCGATTCTCGGGAAAGCGGAGCGATTCCGTTTGTTTCCACTTTGAGTATCAACACTGAGGGATTGATGGATGAAAAACTTCTCCATGTTATATATGGGATGAGCAAGGTGAGCATGATACTGCCTGCAATAACTTTCCTAATAACCGCTGACGATAATGCTCAAAAGGACTTCTGTGCTCCAGGACTCCGGGTAGGCTGTCTGATTACCAAAAATCCATTGGTAGTAAAGGCCGTCCGTTCAACTTCGTAAGTTTGGAGTCATATATAAACAATATATTTTTTTTAAAAAAATCTAACAGCCTTTTTGGAATTTAGACGACAGATTAACCCGTCAGGAATCTCTCTAGACATTTCAGCCACCATTTTGAATGACGAAAAATTCGCGGCAACTTACCTTCAAAATACCCAAAATCGGGTACTCAAGGCCTACCGCTTTGTTACCGGACTTCTCCGGCAGCATGGTATTCCCTATTTGCAAGGAACGTGAGTAAATCACTCCTCCGGCCAGTGATATATTACAAGATTAAAAAGGACAGGGCTAAAATATGATTCACTGGATAGGAATGCTGGATGTTTCGTTTGGTTGGACTTGTCGAAATACTTACCACCTAGCACTTCCTCCCAGCCATTGACACAGAAAGATAAAGAATTCGCCCTAGCAGAGAGATTCTCTGAAGGTGGCTTATTCCTCCATCCAAGCGAAGAGAATGGGATGGAGCCAGGTTGGTTCCGGCTTGTATATACCAATGAGGAAGAGCTGATAGTTGAGGGTATAAGAAGGTATAAAACCATCAGCCGTCCATATCGAAGAAGAATAAACTTGCTAAATGATTAACATTGCAGGCTTAACCGCATCCTCAAATCCTTGCCTTGGACGACAGTAAGAATTGAAGCAGGGAAGTTATAATCAGACACTAATTAACAGGTACTGTGTTAGTGTATGGGAATTAGTACGAGGTAATATATGCTACTTTAAAGAGTTAGATAGTTACCTGAAGTCCTTGGAATATATAAATAAGACTGAGTTGATAGAAGGGAAGGAAAGAGACTTGCTCCAAGATCTTCATATTGTTAGAGTAAAAATTAAAGCATTAATACACTGTTATTGGTTCCTTGATTAACAAAATATATTAAGATTAGCCAATGAATTATTGAGAAACATACAATTAGCTAACTGTATTTCAATTACGTAATCTTAAATATTGACTACCGACGAGCTCAACAGTATCAACAACTTGCGATGTCTTTATGAGACCACAAGCCGTCTTCAAAACGCTGTCTGACATGCCGGGCATGCGGTATACACCGTTTTCCTTACTCAGGGAGTCTCTTCGGCCCGGGTCACTCACTCAATCTAGGTCTTTCCGTGCGGCTAGTCGACTACGAAGCTTTCCGTCCCAACCCATCCATCGCCCGCCCGGCCATCAACCGTGGCCTGGGAACAATGCATTCGTTTGCTTAATATGTCAATTGCGCGCATCTTCGAGGTTCTATTCCACTCATAATGACAAGGATACCCAGGAAGGGGCTAAAAAGGCAACAGCCAATGATGGCAGGGAGGATGGGGCGGTAGCAGATGTTCCTAGCCCGGTAAAACCACAGGCCTTCAACAAAAGTGAACTCCCTTCTCAGGAGGAGCATCTACGTTCCAATCTCTCGAAGAAATTCGGAGAATTAATGGATAATTTGCAGTCCAACATTTTTGTTGCCGGACAGCATCTAAACGATCTTACTGGGTATACTGTTATTGAGAAACTGAAGCAGGACATTCGGGCCCAAGGTGTGTGCTAGTATTCCGGCATTTCTGCTTAGTAGGATACGCTCTAACTGCGATTAATATGTAGAGGAACTAGTGCGCCGTACTCGTGAGAAAGTTCGTCGAGCAAAGGAAGCCTACTCTTCAGCTATAAACTGCCGTTCTGCCTCCCAGCGTGAAGTCAATGAACTTCTGCAGAGAAAACATGCTTGGACGCCTACAGATCTCGAACGATTCACCTCTCTTTATCGATCCGATCATGTCAATGAGCGGGCAGAGATAGAAACACAAGAAGCGCTCTCGAATGCTGAACGTGAAGCCGAGGAAGCAACTGCTGAGTTAAGCAAAAATATCTTAACACGCTATCATGAAGAGCAGGTTTGGTCCGATAAAATTCGGCGCATGAGTACGTGGGGTACGTGGGGCCTGATGGGTGTCAATGTACTGCTTTTCTTAGTCTTCCAGATTGCCGTTGAGCCTTGGAGGAGGCGAAGACTGGTCAAAGGTTTTGAGGAAAAAGTCGCGGAGGCATTGGAGAAAGAAAATAGCCGGCATACTAAGGAAATTTCTGCGGCTGTTGAACACGAGAAGCCAACTTCTGAGCCCGAGAAAGATGCTGGTGTTGTAGCATCAGATACGTCAGATTTACCAGAAGGGACGGATAAATCTGAATCCGCTACTGAGATACCTGCGGAGGGAAAGCATACGCAGCACACCTCTGTAGAGGCAGAATCAACGATACTAGAATTACCACCTCTGACACCCATGCTTCCGCCGGATCTCGACCTAGCACCTGAGGCCTGGGGAAAGACCTCTCAGGCTTTCTTTACTGAACGACGTGTTACTATCCTACAACGAGACTTGACCACCGTGGTGTTGGAAAGTGCGGCGATAGGTGCTGCAGTGATGGGCGGAGTCCTTTTTGCAATTTCCCGGCTGGGGTAAGTGATGAATACCTATATTATCTGGTTATGGGTCTTGATGAGTTTGAGTAAAAAAATATAGGATGGAAGTGTGAGAAAATGAAGATCCCATATAGACTGTATACCATTTGTACATAGAACAGCCTTTCGACACATCATCTAGATACGTAGAATAATAGAAACAACGAAAATTTCCCTATCTTTAGTATTGAAGTTTGTCTAACCTTCCATGCTCATTATTTCTATCAATAGATTCCTGTATATTTTAGTTCGAGAGAGGGAGGAGAAATACATGAAAGCGGAGGAGGGCTTTATATATGGAGAATAATACAAGGGAAACTGGAGATGCAGACAAGGAAACGAAGAGGCTGAAAAGCCTTGAAATAGAGCAGGTAGGTGAGACATAGGGAAAAAAAGCGGGGGAAGTAATACAGGTATGAACAGACTTCCAAGCAAAATCAAAAGTCGGAGTAGCCCTGAGATGAGTTGTACAATTCCGTCTAGAACAGAGCAATCACTACATCCCGCGAGTAATAGGAGGACCGGTGACGAGTAGAAATTGATGCTAGCGCATTTTTTGTATTGTGACGTCTATTTTCGTGGGTCTGTTTTCCCAGGGCTGAAACATAACCAACTCGGTGATTGCTGAAAGTTAAAGTGGATCGGTTGGTTGGAATTGAAAACGGTCCGCTTAACCAATAACGAGGGTGTCATCGCTTGGGAAGTCGTAGATTGGAACCTCCAAGTTCAATGGAGCGGGACCCTTTCGGATACGGCCAGAGATATCGTAGTGAGAGCCGTGGCAGGGGCAGAACCAGCCGCCAAAGTCGCCAGCTTCGCCAATTGGAACACATCCAAGGTGGGTGCAAACGCCTATATATACGTTAGACAAGATAACTTCAAACTCAGGGCCGAGTCAAAGATAATCGGGCTACTTACCCAACATGATAAGCCATTCGGGGTTTTTGACACGGTCAGAATCTGGCTGGGGGTCTCGAAGGTTTTCCCACTTGGTCTCTTGGGCTTCCTGAATTTCACTGGCAGTTCGGTGACGGATGAAAACGGGCTTTCCTCGCCATTTGATGATTACCTAACGTCGTGGCGTGAGTATGAAGGTGCATAATTATATGTGCAAAGGTGTGTAGGTAGATGGGTAGTAACGCACGTTCTTGCCCTCTGGGATCGAGTTAAGGGCGATTTCGACCTTGGCCTGGGCCAAAACATCGGCAGAGGCAGACATGTTGAGAAGGAAATCTGTATGAAGCCCGGACATGTCAGCCGAAGTCACAAAGTCCACATCCAGTCTATTCATCCACAACCTCTTTCCCATCCTCCAATTGACAGCCAGCATCAACCAGCGTGAAGATAGAACGCACCTTGGACAGTAGCCTTAGCGCCGACAGCGGTCATCATGCCCATGGAACCAACAACGAAGTAGGAGAAGGTCTTGTTTGTGCTCTCACGACGAGGGCTAGCATATTTGCCGAAGCTAGGAATCTTGTAGGTCGAGGTAGAGCCGCTGCTTTTGGTGAACGGGCTGTCGAACGAAGCACTCGCGGAGGCATCTGAGGCTCCTCCTCGTCGCTGCTGGGCGATGGAAGAGGCAGCGAGGGCGCGAGGGACAACGCTGGCATGTCGGGCACACGCCCGGAGCGAGCTGGCGGAAGAGGCGGCAAGAGACGACATGGCGAGCCTGGAGACGAGCAATTGAGCGCAACCGGTAGACTTGCACGCAGACGTCGGTCGGTCGGTCGGTCTGGGGGCGGTGGTGGTGGCTTGAATGGTCGAGCTGGTCGAGGTTGAGGTTGGAGTTTCGATGAAGTTGCGTCGGTTTTGGGTTTTTTTCTGTCGAAGGGCCGGAATCATCCGCGCACTGATTGGCTGGCTGGGCCTGCACCACATCAGGCCTACTACGGCCTGCAGAACGATGTGCTTAAGAGTAGCGAGATAAATGATGCTCTACTCGACGACGGCAACGCACAGTGATACTACGAATGATTGTTACAGGAAGAGGGGGGGGCAAGGCGAAGAGAACGACGATGTTTTTATGTATCATTTATACCTGCTCCATGCACCAGCCAATGGGTAATGAGTCGAATATATAACAAGCCAGACGCCGTCCCACGCCCAACCCGGAGAGAAGAAAGGGAAAGGAAAAATGCATGCATGTGTTTAAAGTGCCATCTCGACGTCGTCGTCGTCATCCTTGCTCGGCCGTTGCTGGGCTGACCCTTCGTCGACCAGCCTGCTCCGGGATTGCGAGGCGTGTATGACCATCGGCGGACGCGGAGACAGCTCGTTCACGTTCTGCTCACCCACGTCAACCATTGATTCCTCCCGCGAGTGCTCTGGCGTCCCATTCTGGCGTACTTGCATCTCCTTTAGCGTCCGCTGGTTCGCAACTTGGCCGTCTTCCTTTGCCTTTTCCTTTGCCCGCTTCTCTTTGAATTTCCCGTACGTGGTCGTCTTCGGTATCACGTCCGATAGGAATTCGAGGTTGTCGATACGCGAAACAGCAGTGGCTAAGCATAGGCTATTAGCATACTTCACAGAGTAGAGACATTTGCGAGGGGCGTACCTATATCTGCGTATCGTAGATTCTTCAGGTTGTTGGATTTGACCACATTATATCCTTGCTCGGTGAGATACTGAACGAACATCTCCTACACAGTGCGCCAGTAAAGCGTTAGCCCTCAAAATAATGACTGAATCCTTCTTTTCCCGCTCCCTGCTCCTCCTTCTCATCCTCACGGGGGTTCTTACCGTCGCCACAGCGATAAGGAAGGTCGCGTTCGTAGAGCATTGTACTATATCCTCGTCCGCTCGAATGATCCGTTTTATCCTGGCCACTGTAGATGCCTCCTGTTAGCTGTAGGTGCCTTGACCTGTAGAACGCAGTGTACATACACGGCAGGGATGTGTGGCCGGTTGCTTCGCCTGAAGACTCCCGGCTGGCTTTGGCGGGCGGCATCCTCGACTCAACTGCGGCTGCGGCGAGAACCAGAAAGTAATTATAATGGAGCAAAACAGCTTCAAGGGTCTATCACTGTGTCGCCGCCCTCGAATTGCTTTGTCCGCCCCCCCCGTGTGGATGTGTTCAGAGTGTCGTTGGTCATTCGGTCAGACGATGGCTAGCATTTTTAACAAGCGACAGGCGCCCTTTTTTGCGCTTTCTTGGCCAAGCACGGCTACGGACAGCGACAGCCAGCACGAAAGAAACTGAACAACCACCGACTGCGGCCTTGCGACGCCTTCAGCTCCAGCCCTGCGCCTGCACCAAGCTTGCATCTCTCGACAGTGTTGTTCGTTTCCCCCCCAGCCGGCCTTGGACGATCCTCGACGAAGTGAATAGTTACTCCGTTCCCGCCGCCGTTCTTTTGGCTTTTGGTTGCTGGATTGTGTCGGTAGGCAGGCGTATGGTCATAGTTATGATACCCAGCATATAGATCGGTGTCATGAACCCGAGACACCGCTCCTCGTCCTCGTCCGCCGGTCCCAGATCGCAGAACCGTCCCTCAAATCCTCCTATACCGTCCAATCTCCAGGCGCGGCGGGCGTCGAGCTACTCACTTCCCACCCACGACCATGCGCAGACAGCTGGCGGAGCTGCTACCTCCACGGGCGTCGACGTCAGGCAGACAGCAATAACGGAGGAAATTAGCGAGATAAAACGATATGAGGATTTCACTACAATTGACTGGGTCCAGGATGCTGTCCAGGAGCAGGCTCGTCGACGCATATGGAGGACTGAGGGAGCTCGGTTCTGGGACCAGGAGGGCGCCTATGGCTGGAGACGGAAGCTCGATGAAGCTTACGATGCAGGCCAGGCATGGCTAGTGATGACAATCGTGGGTGTAGCCATCGGTCTCAATGCTGGGTTTCTGAATATTGTCACCGAGTGGCTGGCAGACGTAAAGCTTGGATACTGTACCACTGGATTCTACCTAAACGAAGCCTTTTGCTGCTGGGGCGCAGATGGCGGTAGGTAGCCCCTTTTGATATATGTGATACTTGTATGCCATTAACTGACCATATATATGTCAAGGTTGCCCCGAGTGGAAGCGATGGAGTACTTTCTCTCTCATCAATTACTTTGTCTACTTCATGTTTGCTGTAGGATCTCTCCTACCGGCTTGCTAATGTGCTTCGGATAACGGCCTAACTTTTCTCTAGATTCTTTTTGCTTTCTGCTCCGCAAAACTCGTCAATGCATTTGCTCCGTACGCTGCGGGTTCTGGTATATCTGAAATCAAAGTCATCATTGCCGGCTTCATCATGAAAGGATTCCTTGGTGCCCGAACTCTCGTGATAAAGTCACTTGCTCTACCTTTGTCTATTGGCTCTGGCCTTGCAATTGGTAAAGAAGGCCCTAGTGTCCACTTTGCAGTCTGTACGGGCAATGTGATATCTCGTTGGTTCGGCAAATATAAACGAAACGCTGCTAAAACCAGAGAGATATTGACTGTAACCTCCGCTGCCGGCGTTGCAGTTGCTTTTGGAAGTCCCATTGGCGGAGTGCTGTTCTCTCTTGAGGTGCGTCAATGCTCAATTACGTATTTACCTAGTAACTAACTAGAGCTACAGGAAATGGCATCATACTTCCCGCTGAAGACCCTTTGGAGAAGTTACTTCTGTGCTTTGGTAGCAACCGGCGTCCTTGCTGTACGTCATACGTAATGACAAGTTATATGTCAGTGCTAACATTATCTAGATAATAAATCCATTCAGAACGGGGCAGCTCGTCATGTTCCAGGTTCAATATGATAGATCATGGCACTCGTTCGAGATTATATTCTTTATTATCCTTGGGGTTTTTGGTGGCTTGTATGGTGCGTTTGTCATGAAGTGGAATTTGCGAGCACAGGCATTTAGGAAGAAATATCTCTCAAAGCATCCAATTATCGAGGCTACAGCCCTAGCAGGCCTCACGGCTTTGGTTTGCTACCCAAATATGTTCTTGAGGATCAACATGACCGAGATGATGGAAATACTTTTTAGGGAGTGCGAGGGGCCACATGATTACAATGGAATTTGCCAGTCAGTATTTTCCTATCATCCTGATTGAAGGCCATACTAACTCAGTTAATAGGGCCAAGAACCGCTGGTCAATGGTCCTTTCTCTCCTAGGAGCTACTGTTCTGCGCATATTCTTTGTGATCATATCCTACGGGTGCAAGGTTCCTGCTGGTATCTTCGTGCCTTCTATGGCTATTGGTGCCTCTTTTGGAAGAATGGTTGGAATACTTGTTCAAGCCCTCCACCAACGATTTCCAGATTCTCATTTTTTTGCATCTTGTGAACCCGATGTTCCGTGTATTACCCCGGGAACCTATGCGCTCCTCGGTGCCGGTGCTGCTTTAAGTGGGATAATGCATTTAACCATATCAGTGACGGTTATCATGTATGAACTAACAGGTGCATTGACTTATATTCTCCCCACAATGGTAAGGCTTTGATATGATTCACCATTTTATTCATTATTTCTGATAATGGACCTGCTAACGTATGTTTGACTTTTGAACAGATTGTTGTTGGAGTTACCAAAGCTGTTAGTGACCACTGTGGCAAAGGAGGTATTGCTGATCGCATGATTTGGTTCAATGGATTCCCATTTCTTGATAGCAAGGAAGAGCATATTTTTAACGTCCCAGTTTCGCATGCCATGACAAGCAATCCTGTTGTGTTCACCGAAGCAGGCCTGTCGATAAACAAGGCCGAACAGATGCTTCAAAAACACAAATTTCAGGGTTTTCCTATTGTCCAAGATCTTGACTCGATGACCTTAGTCGGTTACATTGGCCGCACGGAACTTCAATTTGCAATCAGACGTGCAAAACGGGAGGGCTTATTGGCACCCAACGCCAGGTGCCAGATTGTCCGCCAGCAAATTCCAACCAGCGGTGGCCCTGCATCAAGCTCCCCAATTAACGACCTATTCGGGCCCTCTACCCCCTCGTCTTCCTCTCATCTGGAAAATGAGTGGCACACAGGGGCAGCACCCGTTACATTCGATGATATAGCATCATCATCAGGTACTCGAGTGATCGATTTGAGCCCATACGTAGATATGGCTCCAATTACTGTCCATCCTCGTCTCGCCCTTGAGACAGTGATGGAAATATTCAAAAAGATGGGACCGAGAGTTATACTGGTTGAGCACCGTGGTCACTTATCGGGCCTTGTTACCGTCAAGGATTGCTTAAAGTACCAATTTAAGGTGGAACATCAAGAACATGCAGATGCTAACGCTGCCACTGCCGGCGATGCTACTGCTGGTATCCATGCTGGCCCCGAGGAAGGGATAGTAGAAAAAAAGGCATGGCAGCTTATTTTGTGGTCTACTGGGCTCGCGAAGAAGATTTTTATAGGAAAAGGAACTGCTTCCGGGACAGGAGGCTATACCCAGGTTTCCCAGGAGGAACAGCGAAGACATGAATCCGTGGAGATAATTGATGGCACAGAGGACGTGGATACCCATTTTGAGTTGGAAGAACGGGACCATTAGGGTTGCTATTTTTTATTTTTGGATTTTAATTTCTGTAATGGTAGTTATGTACGACACGATAGATTTATATTGTATGCCACCCACTTTATAACATTCTACATCTAAAGAACCGACCAAGCAGTATCAATCTTCTATATACAAAAGTATCTTAATCCTCCTCAAGGGCTATTAGATCATCATCCTCATCCGATTTTCTATTTTCAGCAAGTCCTATATCTTCTCCTTCATTCATTCCAGCGCTGGTTCCGGGGGATTCTTCATCTTTCTGCTTCTCTCGCATTCCAACGATAATACACCCAGCAGCCATCAGAGTGGCACCAATTAACCATTGGGCATTTACCTTTTCCCTAAAGACAAGCATACCTAGTATACCTGTGACCAGGAAATTTGCAGTGGTATTGGTGATGGTCACCTTGGTGGTTGATGGGGATGCAGTCAGGGCACGGGTAAAAAGCGTCCACATAATGAAATTGGAGAGTAGATTCAACCCAAAAAAGGCCTGAAGGGGTCAGTCAGCATACAAACTGGGTAATCTCAGCATTCCATAATGTTCAGAATAGTATACGTACAGCTCGAACAAGGTATTCCACTATTACATCAAGTGTAGTGGTCGCCTCTGATGACGAGAAGATATGCGAGATTGCCCGCGAGATGCTAGTGGTAAGCTCGGTCGTAGTTCTATAATATTATCAGCAGGGAATTATACATGACAGCTTCGAAAAACCGTCATTAACTTAGTTAACTAAATGATTGTGTATCGATTTCCCCGAGGCATCACCGCAGGCAATTATCAGATACTATCAGATAACCACCAAAGACCTACAATTTGGCGAACAGCCCATTCGTAGCAGCAAATGCACCGCTAGCAAGCGCCAGCATCAGCCATTTCGAATGCTGGCTCATCTTCTCGTCCTTGCGAGGTTCGTGAAGCTCCGGCTCCTCCTTTCCCGCCTTTTCAGAGCGGCCTTCTGTCAATTCCGGTCAGCTTCCCGCGCTTCAAAGATGGATGTTCGATGGTTTCATACCCTTGAGGCCCTGGACATTCCTTCGCCTCGCCATTTCTCGGCCTGTTCCCACTGCGGATCTGTTTCTGTTGGCTGGCGCTCGTTATCCTGGCAGTTCCGCTTAGTCAAAAACTGATACGCACTTTTGTGTTCGAGGAATCTCGAACGCGAGATGCGCCAAGTGGGCTTAATGCGAGAGGTGATTGGCTAGTAATTTGATTCTTGCCGCAGTGGCTCGTTGATCATGAGTGTTTCGGTGCCCTTGATCTTTTCAAGTATGATGGGAGGCGTTTGGTCGTCAAACAGCCTGGGAGACACTGGTCTTGGCGTTCTACCCCTGGCTTGCGAGAGACGATACTTTGGCATAAGAAGTCGTAGCAAGGCGGTATGTTATAAGATTAGATCTAGAGTATTATTTACTAGAAGCCATGGTTGCATGGTAATTGTTAAAAGGGGTATATATAGATCTTTGACATTAGTTAACGCTGCTTTTACCGTCTTTTGGAGTGCACTATTTGGACTTCAAATTGCAGCGTAAATTCCACACGCCTTGCTTTATCGTGTCGCCGACATATTCATTCTTCATATCATAAATGGTCGTTGACCCAAAGAGGACGAAGACTGCTATAGTCATGGAAAAGAGATGGGAAATTAAAATTCAGGATGGGCCAGTCGTTTACATCTCTTCCACTGCACAATTCGGGTGCAGGACATATACCACTTTAGGTTCCTCCGCAGGCTGTTCTCCGCCATCAGTCTCCATCAGCCCATCTCCACGTATTTGCATAAGGATATTATCCTATTTGGTGATGCCATGTTAGCTAATGTATACTGAATGTTCATCAAAGGCAATATTAAAACTTACCTTGACCATCCTCCTCAATATCTTCGTCACCAAAGATCGCTCTTGCTCTAGCTCTTCTTCATTGTTCAGCTCGGACTCAACTTGCTCAAGATAATGAAGGATGAGATCCTCTTCTTCAACACCCTCTCCGCTCCGGTTCTCGTCATCATTAACACGGCGAACAAGAACATTTAGAACACGCATGTATTTATCGTAAGTTATCTTCACCTTCTGCGTTCGATTCTCACCATTGGCTTGTGGGACATCGGTGTTTTGTTGCGTATTCTCATCCTCATCCATCATGTTGTGGTCCTCAGTATCGGGTTGGTTGGTTGCCGCAGGAGGTACCTCCTCATCGTCAACGTCAACATCATCCTTCTCGACGGTAACGATACTCTGTCTCAGCAAATCATATGCTTCCTTCACAAATCTAGGAATGACCTCTTCCACACAATTGGCTTTGGCCACAGCTTCAGATAATCGAATCAAACTCTCTAGTTGTCGCACAGTGATCCTGTAGCTGCTTCTGCCCATGCCTCCTTGTGCATCGTCTGCTCGGAGCTCTTTATATTTCTCAACAACAAGAGCTCTCGCCTCTTCGGTAAAGACTGGACGGAATGTTCGCGCAAACCGGATATACCTCTGTAGCTGCTCTGTGGATAATTCAGGTTTAACAGCCTCATCTCGGTTCATATGAACATTTACAATGTGATCTGCAAGGTTTCTGTCCACTGCCTCATTGGGGTCATCTCGAATAACAAAGAAAAGGTCGAATCGACTCATGATAGGAGCACTGAAATTAAGATTTCCTCGGAGAGTAGTCTTGGGATTATATCTTCCTCCTATAGGGTTTGCTGCAGCCAGGATACTTGCTCGCGCATTAAGAGTCGTGTGAATTCCGGCTTTGGCAATTGAAATAGTTTGCTGTTCCATGGCTTCATGGATAGCAACCTGGTCGCTTATATCCATCTTGTCAAATTCATCGATGGCGCAAATTCCACCGCCGTTCTATACAGGTATTAGAGAATCCTTGTTATAGGGATGGCGGTGTTGGGTTCAACTTACTGCAAGCATCAGGGCTCCAGCTTCAATTGTAAATTCTCCAGTTTCAGGATCTTTAACAACAGCAGCAGTAAGACCGGCGGCAGATGACGCTTTACCACTGGTATAAACTGCTCGCGGATGCAGCTTACAAATGTACCTATAGGGAGGAGTTAGTTCAAAGAAATGCTGCATCACCAAATCAGAGAGCCTTGGAATTGACTTACTTCAAAAATTGACTCTTGCTGGTAGATGGGTCACCAACAATACAGATATTTATATCACCACGAAGCTGCATCGATTCTTCTACTGTTCGTTTGCTAACTCCGCCGACTAATTGCAGGAGTAAACCCTTTTTGATCTGATGATGACCATAAATCATAGGGGCGATTGAATCAATAAGTCGGGCATATATGTAGTCGGAATGCACCATCTGCTTTAGATCCTGGACTTCATAAGGGGTTAACGAGTGAAGCAGAGCAGTTTGTGCCTCCTCTTCAACATCATCTGGAGCCTCAACCTGGTTTAATGAAGACAAGATATTTGGAGCCTGGCCACTTAAGTTCTGATTTGACGACTGGCCAGGGGTAGACAAATCAGGAGTCACCATGCATGCAAGGAACGCAAGGCGATATGTGAGATCTCTCACACCAAGTGATTTCAGACCGCTGACACCATTGCCACCAACGTCACCGCCTCGGAAATTGCCGTAGTCTTTAGTTGCTTCAGGCCGAACGCCAGGCAGACCTGATTGGCTGATATCTGGAATCACAACAAGCATTCCGGTAAAGATACACCTTTCACCGGCCTTTGCACGGTCAACCATCTCTCCGCGTAAGATCACATCCATCGTCCTGGGCATGCTTCCAGTGGGTATCTCATGTGCTGACTCTTGCAGCTTGACCTTCTGCCAGTCAACGAAAGTGCTTTTCCTTATATCCAGGCGCCATCCGATACGGTTACCACACGTAGCACTTGTACACTGGGTAGGCTCTGTAAATTTGAAACTTTGTTCGATATCCGGACACACATTGTTACAGTTCCCACAAATGAATGTTCCCAGTGCAAGTTCTGGACGTACTTCAGACGTCCTTGTGACCGTTCCTGATATGGAGCAAAGCGTTCCAATCTGTGCCGTTCGCAGTTGTCGAAGCCGTGAGACGAGTGGAAGATTATAGAATGCCAGGGTAAACACTTTATCAGTTTGCTGGTACCTGGTCTTCCCAGCTAGAGAGTCCGGTTCTGTGCTATCGAGAGCTACAGTTGAAGTCCCGGCCTGTGACGAATGACTTCCAAGCTGTTTATGCGCACGGAAATACTGAGGCTCGTATTTTGCAATCAAATTATGTAGCGCCTTTGTGAGATAAGGCTGAAATCTGTAGTATTGGTTTATAATTGCATCGGCCAGTACTTGGTTCGAGTTGAGGTGGGTAAAGTCGACGTAGAGGGTAGAGAGCTGTAGTTTTTGCATTCCGTGGATCTGGGAGATATAGTATTTATCACTGAGCATCTCCGATGATGTGGGAGGAGCACCGGATGACATGGGGTCTTCAACGTGTGTTTCTAGCATTTCCTCAAAGGCCTGCTGCACCTTTTCACCGGCTACATCGCGGACAGGGGGTGGTCCTGGGCCGTACATAGGGTGTCGCGGACGCCGGGACGACCTGCTCCCAGCACCGACGACCTGGTCATCGGCAAATTCTGGTGCCTCGCTCATGGGTGCATTGCTCTCTGAGGCCAGCGGCAGGCGGGAGCTCGTTGGCGGGGCGTCAGACCGCTGAGAGCTACCCAGCATGGGGCCGCCATCTGCCTCCGAAGTCATAAGCTGGTCTAGAATCGACGACATGACGAAGTTCTCATTAGCATTAACATGTAGCAAAAGGAAAATAGAACGGCTGCAACAGCCGGTGTCGTCGATATCTCTTGTCGTTCGCTTCTGCTCGTCTTTTGGGTTGAAAGTCGAAGTTTTGATAAGCAAAAGAAAAAAAAAAGTCGCGTAAAGCTCGCGTCTACGCGTAAAGTGGTTTTCTCACGTGATATAAAATTGGCCCTGCAGGCAAACAGCACAAGCAACAACAGCAGCAATAGACAACAACTATTCATTCAAGTAAACATTAAAACGATGCTCGACAGAAGAAATAGAAAAACGCTCGATTACTGGTCTAGTTACTCCGTACGTAGTCGTTGACTCGTGATCGTAAATTGCATAAGGGGCGTTAGGGCATGGTCGGCGAGGCCGGGGCTGGCATGTTATATCCAGCCACTGTACCGGACCGGCAGCTCGTTCAGGATGCCTTCAGAGCCGTAGCCGACCCCAAGAAGGCGGACTCTTTCGATCTTACCGCCAAAGTCATCCTCGACGGTGCTTTGCCAGTCATTCAGGTGTGCGCGGACCTCATTGTAGACACCTGGGTCATCTATCATGAGCAGGGCAATAGCATCGTAACCCCCCGCACCGGGAACAACACCGCCAATAACACCATCCAGTTTACCAAGTGAATCCAATAGCTCTGTCTGTACCATTGGCTCAACGGGGACTTCGCTCTTCTTTGTCATTGTTTTAATCCACATCCTCGACTTGAGCAGCAGATTGCGCAGCTCGTTGAAATCTGCTCCCGGACTGTGAAGCAGTTTCCTCAGTTCAAACAGTATCTTCTCGTTGTTTAGTTGCAGATTAGCCCATAAAATATCCGCTTCCTCACGGTTTTCGTCTCGCCAGCGAAGGAGCTTTTTCACCATGCCTGGAGTCTGGGAGCCGCAGTCAACGTCGCAGAGGACCATTCGGATACCCATGGGTAGCTTGAATCCAACATCATGGCACTCAGTGTCCCATGGAGCACCAGCGTTGACATCTTCGACGACGGCAAATAGGCGATCTTCAAACCCGGCAGAGCCAGGTTCACCCAGGCCAGCAAGTACAGACGGAGAGAACCGTCTGTAGTAGCACGATCCGTAAACAGCGGCAGCAACATCGAAACCAGAGCCTATCTTCCCCTGCGCAGCGCAGTGCGCAGCTTGAGCTAAGTTATGTAATTTTGCTTTGTTCTGGGAGAGCTTTTCGGGCTGAACGGTCCGATGAACGACCAGGGCAGATACTAAAGCGGTTACCAGTGCGGCGGACGAGCCTAGGCCTGTCTTATGCGCATCCTGCAGCCGTACTCCAAATTTCTTGAATCCTGCATACCCGCTATTGGGAGAACCACTCGCAGTGGTTTCAGAGTAATAGTCGTCGTCCGCGAGTATGGTCACGACGAGGGAGCCGATATTATGGGAGGCAGAAACATAGCTCACGTATGTCAGCGCGTAGTTCAGAGCCGTCTCGACGAATGGATTTCGGGGCCTGTTTGCCCAGGAGCTGATTAGCTATATTGATTCGTCGGCCGTATTAAGGTGAACGACACCAGGTTTATGAAACAGCCGTGCAGACAAGGGAACGGGAAAAAAGGGGGGGGGGCAAGAGCATAACGAACCCATCGTCACATTGGACGGCCCTGACACCGCCTCCGTTGTCAGATCGTTGGATCTTGTACTTCCATACGGCATCAACAAACTGCGGTGACTTGACGGTGACCGTATCCTGCACCGCTTCCTCCTGCGCCCCGCCGCTGACGGTAGCAGGCGGGATTTCAGCTGCTCCTACGGCTCCGTCTGCCGCTGCCTGGCCGCTGTTCAGCTGTGCATGGCCCTCTGTTTGTGTCTCCGCCGCAGACGGCCGTCTCTTGACGCTCTGTTGTTGCACCACCACATGGATCCTGGCATCCAGGGCACAAACAGTCCCCGTGTAGTCCCTGTCCAGGACCAGGTAGCCTCCCGCAAGCAGCACCTTTCCGGGCGCCGATACGGCCGTCTCTGTCGCAGCTTGTCGTTGCTCTATCATCTTTGCTGTGTGCGCAGCCCTGTTGCTCTTGGCTCTGTGGTTTACCAATCTCTGGAGGGCGAGCTCGAGGTGGCGGGACGCAGCTTCGGCGGGTGGGATGGAGACGGATCGGCTGTGGCTGGGGGCTGATCCAGCATCGTCCATCTAAGCTTCTTGGGCGTCTCTGCACTGCTTAGGCTCACCCTCGCGCAGCAGGGTTGCGGTGGCTCGAATACGGGCGATGTGGCTGAACGCTGCTGGAGCGCCTGGCGGAGCGCTGGTTCAGGGGGGCGCAATTGCTGATTCCTGACTCGCTGGCGGTGCAGGCAGAAATACGGGGGAGGTCAGTGGGAACGGCTCGGATTGGGCCCCTTTTCCTTCATCGTGAGACCGTGATGGAGATGAGCCTGGCTGGTGTCCCTGGTCAAGCTAGCATTAATGTTAGTTAGTTTCGTTTCGCTGGGACGCGGGCGGCTGTTCGTTTGCGGGCGCGATGCAGCGAAATAAAAGGGACGTCGAAGTCTTCCCCTTTTGGCGATTCTGACGACGTTTCTCTTCACCTCCATACAACAAGCGTCTACTTACTACACAGCACAACGAACAGCACCGCCAGCTTGACCACCAGCTAACTAGCTAATTAATCAGTTGTTACGGGACTGCGCAGACAGTTTGGCCTAGGATGCGTAAGAAGCTTGTCGTTCCTTGGAAAAGTCTTGTCGTTGCTTGTCGCCGTTCAGCGTGCTAACAGGAGGACAGATCACTATCGCAGCCAAGCAAGGTCGCTGGCATGGTACGACGCCGAAGGAGAGGCTCCGAGCCACAATCCGTTTGGGAGAACAAGATCTCGTCCAGAGAGGACGCTGTCGTCGAGCCTAGAGGCGGGCGGCAGCAACAACTACACGATGACCAACATGGACGGGGCCAAGGGGCCAGAGACTATGCATGGCGCTGTGCCTTCGACTGCTGGGACCGATGACATGCAGGGAGGCACTGAGTCCGTTACGAGCACCGCACCTCTTACTCGCGCTGCCGCAGGTGTCAAGGCCGATGAGCAGGACGTCCACAGAAAATCGGGAGGCTCAGAGTCGATGGACAAGCAGCAGGAGACCACCCCTGGGGAAGATGTGCCGGCCGCTGGACACGCAAAACAGTTTACCATTGCCGGCCAGCTGAGAGCTACCCTGTTCAGCTCATGGATCAATATTCTCTTGCTTGCGGCACCCGCTGGAAGTACGTTGCCCAATTCTCGACCAGGGCCGCTAATAAGTGATATGTGCTGACAGTCCGAAGTTATCATGTACTACCTCAAGGTCAACTCGGTCGCCGTCTTCGTGGTCAATTTCATTGCCATTGTGTAAGATTTGGGCTTATTAAAGATTGAAGGAAACCAGGGACCAAGAATGCTGACCCATTGGATAGACCCCTTGCTGCAATGCTCGGATATGGAACTGAAGAAATCGCTATGAGGTAATTTTATCCCTGAGGTTGCTTCAACTTGCGCTGTATTGCCCCTAACAATCGCCTCGCAGAACTGGAGAGACTGTTGGCGGTCTTCTTAATGCCACCTTTGGGTAAGTGGTCCTCTCAGGTGAATTCTACTCGATTGCGCACTAACGGTAAAATTAGCAACGCCGTTGAGCTGATTGTGTCTATCCTTGCGTTGTTCAAGAATGAGATTGTCATTGTACAGACCTCGCTGATCGGAAGCATACTGTCTAACCTGCTGCTGGTCATGGGCATGTCCTTCTTCGTTGGAGGAGTGACCCGTATGGAGCAGAATTTCAACGTGACGGTAGCTCAAACTGCATCCAGTCTTCTCGCGTTGGCCGTCGGCAGTCTGATTATCCCCACGGCCTTCCACACCTGGTCAGGAAGTATGTTAGGGCATACCCACTGTATAAATATTTCAGACTACTAACTGTATCAACTAGATGGCGAAGCTGGCATTGCAGAAATTTCCAGGGGTCAGTGTATTGATACCGTGCTTAGAGAGGTGAACTAACGATCACGCAGGTACCAGCGTCATCTTGCTAATCGTGTACGCAGCCTATCTGTTCTTCCAGCTCAAGTCCCATGCTGCCATCTTCAACACGCCTAGTGAGAAAGTAGAAAAGAGATCAAAATCCAAGAAGGTCGAGGAAGGTGATGCTTCTAAAGGCATTGCCCAGATTGGAGCTGGTTTCTCTGCTTCCATGGGCGGACAGAATGCCCAGCGGATCCCGGTGGTCGTCCCCGAGGAGGAAGAGGAGCCCCAGCTTAGTATATACGTCGCCGTGTTTACTCTCTGCGCTTCTACTGCTCTGGTCGCTCTTTGCGCCGAGGCCATGGTACGTACTATAACTGCTCCATGTTGCAACCACTTTCTTCCCTGAATGCTAGTATCGTGTTCTCTTGCTCATCAAGTCCGAAATACATAGGTTTCCTCTATTGACGCAATCACGACTTCTGGTGGCATTTCGGAAACGTTTGTTGGTTTGATCCTGCTTCCTATCGTTGGAAACGCGGCAGAGCACGCTACTGCCGTGACCGTGGCAGCGAAGGATAAGATGGATCTCTCTATCGGAGTTGCTGTCGGCTCGAGCATGCAGATTGCCCTTCTTGTGCTACCGCTTCTTGTAGTCATAGGCTGGATTGCTGGTACGTCTATACTCACTTGGTTCTTTTTACACCCCGCGTCTCCATTTATGAAGCTCTATACTAACAATAGGCTACTCCATTATAGGAAAGGATGACATGGTAATTGACACCTAGACTTGTAGATGCGGGTCGTTGCATCTCGCATATTCATATGATCGATACTAACACAAGACTAGACCCTTTACTTTGACGGATCCAGTCACAGTGCTCTTCGTCACCGTGCTTTGTATGTACCATACCCGTCTTTCAAAAAATAAAAAAT